TATTTACTTAAACCCCTTATGCTCCTCATGTTACTAAACATATTTGAACAACTAATACCTGCCATGAATATTTTATTTCAAATTGAGTTATATTGCGAAGATAAACCGATCTATCTTTTGTTTGCAATTACATTCTTAAAGTATTAACAGCACCTCATGATTGTAAACTGATACTGAAATGGGGCAGGTACCGTACATGCTATTATTATTTTTGAACACTGGAGATTTAATAACTCCTGTTGAATTTCTGTAGATTTCTCGTTACAATAGTTGTCCCTCAGTTCTGTGTGGGAAAAATAGATGAGAAAAATAACATGTTGAACTTTAGTAAAGAAAAACCCTAAAATGCTAATATTTTAAAGGACATAAAAGTAGCAAGGTAATACCTACCTACACTGGTTAAAAAGCCAGTTTTCTATATCAGTCAAACCAGTTGCCCTGGAGTAGATTCCAACTCATGGCGACCTCACATGTGTCCGAGTAGAATTGTACTCCATAGGGTTTTCAATGCCTGATTTTTTTGGAGGTATGTCTCCAGAGCTTTCTTCAGAGGTGCCTCTTGTAGGTTAGCAGTTTCAGTTAGCATTCAAGTGTGTTAACCATTTGCACCACCCAGGGACTTCTCTATATTAGTAAAGAAATCTTACATCTTATGTATGAAGTTAATAAGCATAATCATCAATTTATATATATATGGATATATATGTGTGTATATATATGTATATATGTGTGTGTGTGTGTGTGTATGTATATATATGTGTGTGTGTGTCTGTGTGTGTGTGTGTATATGTGCATCACTGGTTTTGCTCCTCTAGAGAACCTAGACTAAGACAATGTCCTACTAAATGCATTAAAAGTAACACTTTAGATATTCATAACCTTAATTCTTCTGTAGTAGATTTTTATGAAGTAAGGAGCTAATTTCATTTATTTTCATATGTATAACAACTTTTTTTTGGTCTAACAACTTTTGCAAATCCATTTATTGATGCTTTTCCCATATATTTGACATGTCAGAAAGATTTTATACAACCACGAGTTTCTTTGTGGCTTTCTACTCTATTCCATTTAATAGTGTGTCTATCCTGCACTAATACAATGCTGTCTTAATTACTATGAATTACTCTAATCCAGTCCTCTGACTGAGCCTGTTGTTTCTTCAATTCAATATTAAATGGAAGATGACATTCTGGGGCATGATCATATACATATATATATATATATAGATATATAATTCAAGAAACATTTGCTGGTTTTGGTCCTTCAATCTTTCAAATATATTTTAGAGGTAGCTGTAAAACTTCCCAGAAGATCTGTATCAATCTTGAATAGAGTTGCATTCACTATTTTGAATTGGAAAGAATTGGCTTTTCTATAATATTATTTTTTCTAGACACGAATATATCTCTCCATTTATTTACAGTCTTCACGACAGTGTCATGATGTTCTGCAAGTCTTTGAAGAAATCTTGCATGACTATTGTTAGATCAACTCCTCAATGCTTTACAAAACATGTAAATCTTTTCTGCTAGAAAGTCTCCACAGATCTCTTCAGACTCACTTTCTATCCTTCTGTGTCAGGGATTCTGAAGACCACGTTTAGGCCTGATGATAGTCTAGAAGAACTCACAGAGCTCAGAAATGCTCATACATATGGTTACAGTTTCTTACAGCAAAAGGATACAGAATAAAATCAGCAAAAGGAAAAAAAGAGTATAGGGTGAAGTCCAAGAGAAGCCAGAAGCAAGCTTCAAGGTGTCCCCTCCTAGTGGAGTTGCTGGGGAAGTGCTAAATTCTTGCAGCAGCAAATGTGTAACAACAATGTGTGTGAAGTGTTGACAACTAGAGAAGCTCACCCAAGCCTTGATGTCCAGTGTTTTTATTCGAGCTTAGTCATGTCGGCATGCGGTGCCTATGTGATTGACATTCAGCTACTCATACTCCTGACTCCCAGAACAAAAGCAAGTGTTCACCCTAAATCACGTCGTGAGCATAAACTATCTGATCAAAGCCTTAGACATACACAAATACTCTTTTCAGGCAGAACACTCCAAGGGCTCAGAGTGCAAGACCCAATTAGGAGCAAGTTGTGAAAAAGGGTCTCTGAGAAACCCAGGCTTACTGAGTTTACTCTTTCCTGCACACCTTCTGAATGAACCTTGCTCAGAGCCCCAGGAGGCTGTCTTTCTTGACTGCATCTCCTGGCTTCCTTGCTCCCTAGCATCAGTTTGGGTTTGGCCAATTAGCCCCCTGTGGAGACTGAAAGCTTTAGGAAATTGAAATTGACAGTAGTTGTTAGTTGTCGATCCTTTCATCTCCAATATAGACACTTAGAGCATTTGAAAGTAATGGCAATCTTACATCTTTCTTTCCAATCCTTAGGCATTTAATATATTTCCCTAGTAGTTTTATTGTGCTGGCTGAGACTTCCTGTTCAATATTAAATAGAAGTGGGCATCCTAGGACATTCTCATCTTATATTTCATTTTAATGGGAATGCTTCTAATTTTTTCCCTCCTATTTAAAATGTTAGATATAATCATTCATATTAGGCTGAAGAAACTCTCTTCTCTAATTTTTAAGAAATATTTTTCATCAAAACTTGAAGGTAAGTTTTACCACATTTTTTTGAATTATCTAATAAAAGGTTAGTAAGTTTTTTCCCTCCCTTCTCTTTTAATCTGCTAGAATTGTGCATGACATTTACAAATTTACTATTATGCCCTCCTTTTACCCTTCAATTAGTATCAATGTGATACTGATACTTTCTGTTT